TTAATTCTAAAGACAATAAACTTTTCAGTTTTGTTATGTAAAAATTGTATCTGCGTTAACGAATTTTCGATAATTACAATCATATCTTACACAGGGTTATACGTTTTGTGAATAATCCCCATCAAAACGCTATTCTTTGAACGGAAAATTAGCCCTAAATGACAGTTCTGTTTGACACAAGTCACTGAAAAAGTACTGTAGTATTATGGAGTAGATAACCTTATATATTATTGACTTCAAAATGTTGAAAAATTTCCTAAATGTTTCAATATTAAAGAAAAAACTTTAAGTTCTATATACACGGCTAAACCAAAAGTTATTACGGCTAAAATAACTTAATACCTATTCTTGCAGACATCAGTGGGCTAAGATTTTAGAAATATTTGTGATGTTAAAAGGAAAACTCATCATCTTCGTACTTGGTATTCATCTAACGAACCCTATCTCACCACATCCCTAGATATCGGGTACCCTATCTATGTGCCCTTGATAGGGTACCCGACACCCTAACTTATCAAGCTACTGTGCAATAATTACGAGAAAGGCATTTCTTCTGTAACAAGAGAAACCCGATCTTATTAATGATAATGTTGAAAAGTTTTCGTATCATCTATAATCTAATACAGTTTTGAAAATCGCTCGTTAACCGGTCGGTAAGGAAACAGTTGAAACGTTTACGTATGAACCATTGCTATAATCTATGGTTACCTGTCTGAACTTGCAATCTACAGTATAAGCAATAGCGATCTATAAGTTTTATATATATTTTCTTAGAATATTTAAAAATATTTTAAAATAAATATTGAGCATTATAATACGTTTCAAAATATTAACCGATAGAGTTGTAAAAATAGCATTAAGCTAACCATTACACCAGAGAAGCAAATGAAAAGGGTTTGGCCACTCATTGATTGCTGTTCACTAAACTGACTTCACTCTTGGATCACAAAATTTAGAAAACACTTCATAAAATGTCAACACTATCAAATTCTTGGAACAAAGGTTTTCAATGTTGGACCAATAATCAAAGGTTGAATAATGAAAGGTTCAGAAAAACAAATAAAAAGCATTTGAACTGTTATAACTGCTTTTAAAAATAGATAATGAAAAGAATTGGGCATAAGCTTCAAAAAGTAAAAGGTTTGATACCTCCAATATCAAAAAATGTTGTACAAAATGTTATTATAAAGACAGGATGCAACTACTATTTAGCCATACAACTTTTATGTATCAATACTTATTTCCTGAAAAGAATAAAGATTCATACCTTTTCCGTAGCTCTACGAATAGATCTATCCAAAACAAGCATGACACACTCTCTTTATGATAACACTTATCGAACGATTGTCTCAATAGCTCGGATGCTACAACTATAAATAAATTATAGGATTTCCTGTGTACCAAATATAACCCATTTTATATAACAGGGTGAGGGTGCAGTAATATTTTAATACCCAGCAAAAGAACTGAGAGTTTTAGTAGCTAGGCTTATGTTATATGTATATCTTTAGTTAGGTTTCAATTTATTGGTATATTTCTAGAAAAAAAATTTCATTTTTTTTAAAATTCTATATATAATATATATTATACTAATATATATTTTTATAAATGGATGTACAACCAACATGCCCCAAACGTAAATATATTTTAACCATGACCCATCTTATAAACTGCTACAACAACCAAACCAACGACACCAGCCTTTATGAATCAGCTTAAACATGTTAATTATATATCTTAATTACTCTTCAGTATTGGAATATATCGGAGATATATTCATCTTTAAGGAGATGCTTCGTACATATTGCAGCCAAAAAATAAAACTTGCAGAACTTGAAGAGCGTACCCAAATCGAGCTACAAAAAATATAAGTAGGATTAAATCGGTTAATCAATGATATATTTATATTGCACTTGATGATAGAACCTAACTTAAAAGTAATAAAATAAATGATAATTGAACGATATACGATTTATTGAATTATTCCGGATATTTTCTATACTTATTGTAAATACAAAAAAAGAAGGAAAAAAACTTTTTTTCCTACATCAAAAAACAGTAAGAGACACTTTTTTGTTTATATCTCTTAATTTCATATTTCTTCCGTATCAATATATGTATCTGTGGATCGCATATAGAACATAAATAGCTTCAATTATCTGCTTAAATGTTTTATTTCTTTTTTTTTTTCTGTGCCTTCCTTAATCTCTTCAGATGTATAGATGTAAACGCATCTTTAAACATATTAGAGCCTCTACATATGAACTCTAAGCGCATTAATTTTACTCGTTTCTGCTCTTTTGTCAGGGGAAGTGTTAAAAGTGCCTAAGTGTGACACTTATTATGAAGTGCATTATGTTTTGATTCAATAAAAAAAATGATGCTGCATAATTTATCCGGAAATTTTACACATGTTCTTTTTTTTGTTACTCTGCCTTTAAACACTACTTATGTGCAGTAAAAAAAAAAAAGAAAAAATCTATGGAATTCGAAATATTTTTTAAAGTATTTGAATTGCTTTCTAAGTCTCTTTTTAAGTTGTTTATTTTCAAACAAATTTTCCTTCAAATTTGTCGAAATTCAAAGAATTCCCTGTGCACATGTATCTAACTCTGATCAGATCCCGTCACACGAAAACGGGATGGCATTGTCTCGGCTAACGGTGTGAATGCGATGAAAGATGTCTTTACTTTAATCCTCTTACAATAATTCGTGTAGATCTTTAGGGCTTAATGGCAAGCCTAAGGTCAAAATGATTACGACTATTATTTATTTTATGGAGAGTGTCTACTGATTGTTGCTTAGGTAATGCGGTTGATCAATGTTTAGTATTTCTTCTTAAACAAAGTTTTTGGCACACGTCTACGTCTTCTCGAATCTTACATTAATTGGAAATAATGTATATTTGATTTTGTTCTAGTGCAGCACAGCAAAGAATTTGTTCATTTACTTTCACAGCTAATTAACAAAACTTCAAGTTCGAACTATAAGTCAAGTACGGCTTTGGGTCAGTTGGATAATTAACACTGACTCTGAGCTTGAATTTTAGGAGGGTACGAACTCAACACTTGGCACCAGCAGTTTCCAAAAATTATCTACGAATAACTAAATTATATAAATAATTTCAAGACCACTGATGATGGGTAGTTGGCAACACAGAAGAGCTGTATTATTAGCCAAAAATTCAATTAATTAAAAATTTAGTACAAATTTTTGTTGTTGCAATTCAATACTATTTGAAACCTCTTTAGCGCTATTACTTCTATTTGGAATGTAAAATTAGGCATTTCTATTTTATTCTTAGTGATTTGGATATATACTCTCTTTTCCAATAAGCTAGAAATATATACATTATTACATCTAGTCTTTCAATTTATTTTGTACTTCTTGTACAGTATTTTGACACTTATTTATCTGCCAATAAATCTGTTTAGTGTTTCACAAAAAATTATCTCAAGTTAGTAATCTTACAGTGGCATTAGTCACTATAAAATATGTTATTTGCGATAGACCACAATCGTTTGTCTGACACTCACTTATTTCGTTATAAGTTTAGGGTTATGAGAACTATTCTTATTAGTATTCTTAAACGTAGTCTATATACATATGTAGTATATGACATCTGTTTAAGTATGTCATAAACACAGCGTCATGCTTAACCAACTCTTCTCATGTTATTAGAGGTAAATGTATGGTATTACTTGGTGCACTTTATAAATCTGTTAAGGGGCTTATAATAGTAATGATAAGGTATTATATTATCAAAAATTATGTTTTAATCAATATAGGTTGAGTACTCAAAAAATAAAAAAAATGTTCTTTGGTTATCTCCAAATAAAATGGTACATACATAAATTAGTCAATGAGATGGGTGGGACCCTGCAGTATCCCCAGCTATCAAAGAGTAAAAGTGCCCAGTTGCGCTGTGTCGAAAAAAGGACCAACATACATACTACTTAAAGAATTTACCCAATCTATGGTTGAATTGATTATTGATGAGATCTTGTCACTTGCCAATGTCGCTGCATGCAACACAATCTCAGCTAATTAAATTCAAAGACAATTACTAGGTCACTGTCAAGGTCAAAACAATTGCACAACGTTTAGTACAACATTATGGGGACGACTACTACTAAAGCTGGGTTTAGATATTTTTTATTAGATGTTGCACAAGTTTAAAATCAATACAGTCATTAGACTGAGAATACCTTGAAGTTGCTCTAACTCTCTAAACTCTCACATGTTTAGGTTAATCCAGTCGTTGCTCTGAAACAGTTCTCACATATTTTGGGCAAATTGAACCCTCACATATTTAGATTTAATTAAACTCTGTGCTCTTATAACATATATAGTTTTCTTCCATAATACACCAAAATTCGTAATGCATTCGTACATGAGTGCTCTATCGATGGTATGACCATTGACGTTTTTAATGGATATCTTTACTAATCAAATAAAGAATCACTCTAAATAAAGGATAATGGGTGAATAGAGCTTTTATAATATATGTAAAATGCATTCCAAACAGTACTGAATTGCTGTATTCCTATATTCTGCGCACGATTCAAGATTTTCGATAGGACTGATTATCGAGAAATGGGATTATCGACTTCAGTAATAAATACCAAAATCTGAGTTTTATTAAATTATTATGTAATAATAAATTCCTTCCAACCAAATACACTGTATTTATTAAATTTAATTAGATATTATATTATTATATTCTCTTTAAAATAAAATTATATATAACTACTTAACTACTTAAAAGCACTTTGAAAGCTAAAGCAATAATAACTTCAGTGGTTCACTGAAGGTTCAAAAAACCAAAGTGCTTTATATATATATATATATATATATATACACATATATATATTATATATTATTGTTATTATATATATTTATTTTATTATAATAATTATTATTAAATATTATTATATGTAAATTTATATATAAATTATTCTATTTACATATGATTAATATTAAACAATCGATTTTCTTACCGATTACGTTCATTTATGTCTGAGTGCTCTGTCTTAGGGCGTTTAACCTGCAAATAAAGTAAAATAAAATTTTAATTTTTTGCAGATTTTTAAAAAAAAGATATTGTAATCAAAAATAATTTAAATCAGACGGATTTTGTATGACATTTTTTTTATTTTATGTAAGTTTTTTTAAAAAGTAATATACATTAAATTTTTATAAATCCTTAAAGATTTTTATTAATTTTAAAAGAATCAAATTGATAAAGATAAATTGAAACGATTACGGGTGAGTGATCTATGTAGATTTAAATCATCTTAAATATTAAATGTAATAATATATATATATAAGTTTTTTATTTTACTAAATTTATATCATAAGTATAAAAAATTAAAACATATAGTCATATTCATGATATTATTCATTTTACTTTAATTTAATTAATTATCAAAACAATAAGAGTACCGCACCCACCATATTCTACTGATCTTACATCTTCTAATTTTTATTGAATCCGATCCCTATACGATCCCTATATTTTTAGATGGTAAATCATTTGCTTGGAGTGAGGAGATCAAACATTATTTCAATCAATTTTTGACAGAAAATAATAAAAGGATTTCAAATATGGAATCATGCTACTTCCAGAAAGTGGTAAAAGGAATTGGACCAGAATAAACAATATGTAAATCAATAAAATATTGTTCACTATAAGGAAATCATTTTTCATTTTCATAAAAAGAACGAAATTAATTTTCAAATAAAATAATATGTTGAAGTTATTATTACATATTTAAGTTTCTTCTTTTACTGATGTCTTCCCACGAGTATTGAAAACTAAAGGTCTTACTCTTAGTACACATTTCACCTAAATAAATACTCTAAATACTCTTAAATAAATTGAGTGGTAATTTTTATTTAAAAAACTTCAATTTCAACTATTCAGAAATTTATTAATAATAGAAACTTATAATAATAATACAAAAAATAGTGTTAAAATTGTGAAAAGTAATCATTTATGGAAATTACATTAATTTATGTAGCTGTGGTTTATGCGTTTTTTTCGAAGTTAGTAAATATGGCTTATTATTTATAGACGCTTAATGAAAATTTTTTTTTATAATTCATTAATAATAATCTTATGCTTCATTCATTTTAAATGAAGATATAATTTAAGCCAAAGTCTTACTGTAACCATGCGAAAGACAAATTTCTTATAAGAACTGGTATGAATTGAAGAAAAGTGACATTGGCTTCTTAAAATTTATAATCCTAATGATACCGGTAGTACAGTGAAATTTACAGTAATGTAGGAAGGTATTTGTAAAATCTGTTTTGCTATAAGGTGCAGAATTTTGTGGAATGCCCAATAGTGATGAGAAGACATTACAAGCATTCAACAGAAAAATTCTTCGGAAGATCTACGGTCGGTAGCGATAACGATAAATTGTATATGCTATATCGTGCTATTAATATAGTTAAGTATATAAAAATTCTACGCCTTCGCTGGTTTGGTTCTCATGCAAATGGAAGAACATGTTTCGGTTAAAATGTGTTGGATTCGCTGTACATTTTGAGAAAATATCTACCCTATTTAAATAAAATATAAATACGTTTATAAACGTCCGTATCTTCAGTAAAAGGACTAGATGACCAACGATATAAAGGTACTAGGTGGTTCAATAATTACCTGACTTGTATATCTGGTAAGTTTTAAACGACAACTTTGAAAGTTTCGACTTCATCAGAGTTTTGGTTAGTTTTTTGTAAATAATTGAAATAGTGCATCTTGGTGATTTTTTATGAAATGGGAAAAATTGAATACCCTTCAGAAATAAAATTCCTCCATTTGAAGGGAAAAATAAATAATGCAATCAAAGCTGAATTTAAACGTTTTCGTACGAATGTTTTTATTGAAGAGCATCCAGGTCGACCAAAAGAGGTCACAACTAAATAAAAAAATTTGGAAGATATTCATGATATTGTGTTGGATGAACGTATATCGATAATTTTTCGTGCCCAAATATTCATTCAAATGCTATCGGTAAGATGGGTATCGGCTCTGTGTTTGCGCACAATTGTAATATTTATGCAAAATCCAACTGACTGTGAGCGTCGAGTAGTGGCAATTGATGAAACATGGATTCATCATTTTACACCTGAGAGAAAGCAATAAGTCAGAGAATGGATAGAGCACATGGCTACTGCTTCTAAACGACCACGAACTCAACGATCGGCTGATAAAGTTTTGACTTTCGTATTTTGAAATACAATTTGCTTCGGGGTTTCGAATTGCTTCCTCACCCACCGTATTGTCCAAATTTTGGTCCCAGTGACCATAACTAGCTTCCAAACTTGAAAACTTGGCTTCTTGGCAAGAACTTTGCATTAAAAAATGAAGTGGAATGACATATTTTAAAGGACTTGATAAATCGTATTATTTAAGAGATGTGCAAATGTTGAAGGATCGTTGGACTTGGTATGTCGAGCTAAAAAGCAGACTATATTGAAGCATAGAATATAATTTTCCAAAAAAAAAAAGAGTTTTTATTACTTTTTATTACAACTGATGACTATAATAACCAATTAATAAAGTAGGTACATAGCTAATCGAAACTATAAAAACTGATAGTTAAGTTTAAAAAGTGATTAGAACAAAACGAAGGTATAAAGTGGATTGAAATAATAATAATAACCAAAAAATCTACTGAAAAGTAATATTTAATTCAAACTCTGAGAACTTTCTCTTCAGCTAGTCTAATAATAATTTGTTAGTTATTACATAAAGGATAGAGCCCTGAAATTATTAGCGAAATCTGACAGACTTACCAACACAGCGTTATCAAATCTTAGAATGGTTACAGGCTCCTCTGGGAGGTATGCAGATCTGAGGTCAATTATTGCTTAGTCTGATGAAATGACAAACAATAATACCGTCAAGGTGTAAAGAGGGGTTTTGAATATACCTCGAGTTAAGAAAGAGTAAAAGTGGTCAAGTGCACCGGCTCAGAGAGCTTTAACATAATAAAATAATATGTAGTAATATTATTATAATAGTTATAATATAATATATAATATAATATTCAAATATAACATAAAAAAGTATAATATAGTTGTATATTGAATTGTATTAAAATATAATATAACTATATATTATATTATATTATTAATATATCTATCAGTTAGCTCTTATATTTTTATAACCATTAAACAGGTTTCTAATTAGTCGACAGAGATGAATAATTTTTTACCGACTTCATTCTCAACAAGAACTGATTTCTTAATTCTTTTCATATCGTATTATCAAGACTGCTTCTCCAGAAATGAGACTTCTTCATATATAATAAATATTAATGCTAATTTGATTACATATAAGTCATATTATCGATTTAAGTTTAAAAAGAGGAAATATTTTTGAAAAATTGTAATTATTTATTAATTAAAAATCAAACTAACTCACTAACTATGTATTAAAAGATAACTCATTAACCATTGTTAATAGAGTTTAATACTGGACGAACTCGTATGTGTTGAGTCTTACCTATACCATAAATTACTTATTAAGCTATAAATCCATAAGATCGAGCAGTATTTTTTTAAGACAAATTTAACTATCACAAAAAAGTCAATAAATAAATAAACAGCAAACCGAAGTGGATTAGCTCTTAAGTCCAAGTTGATTTCGATTTTGATTTTGTCATTTGCCGCAGAAAACAAATTTTATTGACGATTTATTTATTTTTCTCTGCATTAAAACAGCTGTACGGCGATTTATTGTCTTGGTTAATAAAAACAAATGTTAAAAATTTCCCATTAAAATAATGCGAATCAAAAAATCACTTCTTAAACATTATTTTTTGAGCTGCTATTGTCAAATTTTAGTTGGACAAACATAAATTCTAATTTTTTATTTGTATGAAAAATTTTTGCTGTTTAAGTATCTTTTTTGGAAAAAAATTCATTTTCTCAAGCTCATTTTTCATATGGTGCTAGCTTCGAAGTGCACGGACATACGACATTGTCCATACGAGTCGAGAAAACTTTTTTTATTTGTTTAAACACACTTCCTAGTTACCAACATTTTTTCAAAATATTTATATTATTATTGCACTCTTCATACTATTATGAAAGGTATACTAAGTCTGGCAAAGATTTCGTTAATTTGTGACATAGAAGTACATTCTGAAGTATGCTTTGAAGTAGTTTTCGAAACAGATTAGATTAGATTATGCTGGCAGGCCAAAAAGGCCACGCGTAGACCATTAAGGTCCATTGCAAAACCAGATCAGAGTCTTGTTTTAGCGATTGTAAGCATCACTTAGGATGCGCGTTTCGTTAGCAAAATTTTTTAAGATTCCAATAGAAACCTCAGGTATATACTCCAGTCCTGCAAAAGTGAAAGCTCCCAAGTATTTTTGTCGAGTTCTCGAGAGAGCCGGGCAATTACACATCAGATGCTCTAGAGTTTCCTTTGCATCCGGCTCATTGCATTTCCTGCAAGCATCGTTGTGAATTAGGTTTAGTTTTCGGGCATGTGATGCAACCAAACAGTGACCTGTCAACACACCAATTAATGTTCTACAGTTCCTTCGGTTAAACGATATAACATTCTTGGTGTACTTTTCTTCGTATATGTGTCTACACATAATTCTAGCTGTTCTACAGGTGGTTAAGTTCCGCCACCTCACCGAAACAACTTCACGATAATATTTTCAACAAGAAATAACTGGAAAATAACTAAATTTCGATCGAGTTCTGGTAAATTAGTTTGCACGCATGGCTTAAATATAGACTATGGGAGCATTACAAAACTACTTTCGCTATTCTCGAGCACAAAACACCGAATACATAATATAATATCCTTCGTATACTCAATGAAACCACAGCTTTCAGTCACCTAACCAACTAAAGTCAAGTTGAAGACTAATTGATTGGAAGATTATGACAGTAAATTGCAAGCTACCTTCTGCTCAAAAAGAACTCGTATTTTGTAAATAAAAGACACAAATTTAAATTTTATTCCAAATTTATTTTATCTCCTTCAAAATATGATCCTTCTGAAGCGAA